CTTCGCTTTCTGCTCTGTGTTTGGAGAAAGTGTTAAGAGTAGGCGAAAGAAAACTCGTGTGGTTTTCTTAGCGTAGCGGGATCTGAGGACTATGCCGTTCGGGGGCTGATATATTGACGTGAAGTGTCTGGTTGACGATCCTAATCCTAATTCCACCTGAGGTGCATCGGTTCGTGAATGCTGTAGCAACAGGACTTCGATCCCCTCTGTCCAATCGTTGGCTACCTCCGGGTCGTGTGGGATTAGTCATCACCTGGGTTACTAAGCGGCCGGCCCCGCGCGCGTTGTTTCGCCTTGGAAGGTTCGGCCGGCAGACGCGGGCGGCGTGCCAAGCTAGAGCGGCCGGTTTTTGGCACGACGGACACGTTCACGGCCAGTTCCCTGGCTCAGGCTGTCAGGTTTCAGAGAACTGAAATAACGATTAGTATGGCGAAGTAAACATATGAGTATCATTCAAAGAGCATCCTAACCAGCATCGAAGTATTTGACGTCGAAAGTTTCCTCTCTCCCACCCTAAAATCGCTTTTTGGCCAACTTGTCAGTGGGGTCGTAACTCATTAACTTGCGACCGTTAGTCCCGAAGTTCAGACTGCGGAATGGACATGTGAGGATAAAGGTAGGATGGGGTGGTTCTTTCATCAATCGCAGCACTATCGGCATGCAACCGCTGCCACTTGCCAGATTATGTCGAACCTCAGTTTCGGCACTTCTGCTTTGTCTATCCACTGTATTCGCAGATCCCATTTGGCCTAACGAGTACCACGTGGCTTCGCGTGCACTCCGGGTCCGTCCGCTGAAATCTGGCCGCTCTAAAGTCAACAACTGGTCTGGGAGCCGGGTAGTTTTCCACTGCACTGGCGTGACGCGCCCGCGTGGTTGGGGCGCGGCCGCGATGGCGGGAAAAACTGGCGCGCGGGGCTGGCAGCAGTCAGCAGCGCCCTCTGCGCGCCGAGTGGCGGGAAATGCCACGAGGTCAATTGTGGCGGGAATAGTGCGACGCGTTTGTTTAGAGCTGCCGTTTTAAAGCACGGAAACACATGTACTTGGAGGCTGCCGTGCTGGAGGCTAGTTTTTTTTAATTCCAAGGTTTTACATAGGTACGATTTATTTATCCCCACATATGCTGACAGCATAGGGCTGCCGTGTTACCCGTTACCTTGGGAGCCACGCGTTGGCACGGGAACGGCCTTGGGGACGGGTGACAGGGCGGAGCGTCCTTCTCACGGGCTAAGGTGAATCCACGCCCGCTGGCTTTGCATGCGTCATAGACGGGGAAGGGTGTGTTGCGAACCACGAAGCCCTTGAGGTGCCAATTGGCAGGCATGAGCTATCAAGTAGGCATCAGCTATGAGACAACAATCGAATTTATTGCAATAATGTGTGGCGTGGCCCCGGAATAGGCGGGAAGCCAGCATGCCAAGGGAATGCCTCAGAAAGGAAGATGTGGGCATTGAGCTTCAATACAATTTTGAAACAATGACCTACACAGACTTGAGATAAATGCCTTGAAGGAAGGCTTTGGATAAAAAAGCTGCAGATGTCGGTAGGAAGCTACTGGTAGGTTTATCGAAACTGTTTGGGATAGACGCAAATAATACAAACGAGAGCATATTTACTTCCAATTTGACCAGCCTCCGATTTGCCTTTACAGCTTAGCGCCCTACCAACAGCCAATAATTGTTTATTTGTTTTACCCGTGCAGGGACCGCGGATTCCAATTCTCGTAGGGTGTGCAAGATGTGGTGATTGGGCCCCCCATCTCACGCCGGGCCCCTTCCAAAAAGTCAGCGCCGCCACTGCTCCGGAATAAGCCGGTTCTAAGGAAGCGGGGCGGAAAAACCTTCAAAATTGACGGTCGTAAGATGACTGAGCGAGCATCTTACGGTCAGGAGACGCATGAGCAGAGTAAATGCACATGCATGCATGCAACGTGATCCAAATCGATCTCCGATTTTCCCAAGCAGACCCCTAAAGGCTTACAGTGACCTTCAAGGACCCCTACGGGCCTCACAGAGCCCTTTTGCACAGTTGATGTTGGCACACTTCTTTTTATCATGGATTACATGAATTAGTTTAAAAAAAAATAAAACACGGCCGACGGGATGTTTGGGCCCATCGATTTGGCCCCTATGACCTATTGGGTTCTGGCCTCCGGCCCCCTTAGCTTCCCCATTGCTCTACGGCCCACACGCTGGCTTTGGGGCCCCATAAAGGCCGCACGCCAGCTCCTGAGACCCAACGCCGGCAATTCTAAGGGTCACCGGCGCACCGCACACGGTCTTTGAAGGTCCCATAACGGCCTCTGGAATACCTCATGTACATAGAAATGTGGATGCCCACGCCGCTTCTTGGGCCCCCACACCTGGCTCTTTGACACCGTTCGCCGGCTCCATGGGGTACCAACTACCCTACCAAGCAAGCTCGCCTGGAGGTCCCCCACCGTCTCTTGGCGCCCGAGTAGCCTCGATGCCTGAATAGGGCCCCGAGACATCGACCTTGGCCAAAAAGCGTTCGTGTAGGCCCTCAGAAACTGTTGTGAGCCCTGAGATTACTGTGTGGGCTACTCAGGCACTTCTGTCGGGTCATCATGCATCGAGTTGGGTCCGAGCTAGTGAGGGTTATCAGAAGCATCCTTAAGCCCTGCGACTTCAGAGGTTGGTGTGAGATCCTAAAAAAGAAAGTGAGGGCCGCACTCCGAGGCTTGCGAAGGGCTTTTCCTCGGAGGTCGGCCTTGGCCGAACGGCGTTCCTCAAACTGGTGTAGGGCGCTGAGATTACTGAATGGGACTATCGAGTATTGGCATGGGGCCCTCAACTATCAGCACGGAGCCCTCAGGAGCCAGTAAGGGTTCCTCTGCGCCATGCATAAGCCATCCGATTTCAGAGGCCGGTGTGAGATCCTAAACAAGAGCTGAGTGCACTTAAAAGCCTGTGTAGGGCCCTCAGAGATCAGCTTTGATCAGACGGCGGTCGTGGACGCCCTTAGAAACTGACGTAGGGGCCGCCTCAGTCGGTCGGCCCTCTCACATCAGCCTGAGGATCTCAGGAATCGGCCTGGGGCCCTCAAGAGCCGGTTAGGGCCCTCGGAAAGTGGCATTATACCCTGAGATAGCTGTGTAAGGCCCTCGGGTAACGGCTTGGGGCCCTCGGGCATCGGCCTGCGCCCGCGGGCATTGGCCAGAGGTCCTTGGATATCGGTCTGGGGCCTCTCAAGAGCCGGTGAGGGCCTTCAGAAACTGGGGTGGGGCCCTGAGATAACTCTGTGGGCTTTCAGTTCCTGATGCGGGACCCTTAGGCATCGGCCCCAAGAGGGGGTTAAGGAGGGCAGGGGGCAGGGGCCCTCAAGAGCCGGTTAGGGCCCTCAGAAACTGACGTGGATCCCTGAGCTAGCCATGTATGTACTCAGACACCGGCGTGGGACCTTTAGACATCGACTTGGGGCCATCGGGCATCGGCCTGGGCCCTCAAGAGCCGGTGGAAGCGCTGAAAAAATGGCGTGGGTGGGGTTCTGAGATAACCCCTGAGATAACACTAGAACCTGTTCACGCCTTCAGGCACCGGTGCGGGACCATCAGGCTCGCGCTGCGGCGCTGGGGCCCTCGAGAATCGGCTTGGGACACTCGAGCGCCAGGGCCGCATGGGCCCCCACAACGAACTGCATGGGTGTGCAAAAATAGGTGTTTGCACACCCTCGGGATTTTCAGGGTGTGCAATTGCACACCCTGCCCCCCGGAATCCGCGGTCCCTGTTAACCCGTGCTGTGCTTCGCAACGAAAGCAAGCTCTCAGCCACGGGTCCGTTGTAACTGGTAGCCAAATAATGTAGCCACAGCCGCTTATTTTCTACTTCGCATTTCGCAAGGTCCTTGTCATGTCCCATTGCTGGCGTATACCTCGAAACAGGCGCGGATACAAGGGGGGGGGGCCATGGGGGCCATGGCCCCCCCCTTGGCCGATTTTTTTCAAAAATAAAATAAAAAGTTAAAAAGTTAAAAAGCTGAAAAGGGGGCCTCCTGAAAATAAAGTGGCCGAAATCCGATGAGTTTTTTTTAACCTACCCACTTAGTTATTTCTTAGAAGACTAGCTGAGAAGACTTCTTTGTTAGAAGATTGGTAAAGCTTTTCATAACTTGGAGGTCTCTTATACTCACAGAGATGACCACTTTTACAGGGCCTCCTAACCTGCACAGAGGGCCTCCAAGCCTGCACAGATGTTGAGATGTTGCCTGAACAGCTAGATAAGCTCAATAGACGCAGTTTTTTTTTTGGGGGGGGGCCCAACAAGTGGGAAGATGGGGCCTCCAACAGGTGGGATTATGGGGGGGGGCCTCCTGGTTTCTAATGGCCCCTCCCTTGGAGATTTTCTGGATCCGCCCCTGCCTCGAAACCCCATGGGAAGACCCAGTCTTCAGTGAATACACGCGTGTTACAGCGAGGGATACGGTTAGCATGGGCTGCCAGGGTCAGGGGAGGGAGCGTTCAATACGCCGCTCCGGCCGTAAGGTCGATATCGGCCCGCTGATACGGCGAAAATAGACCGTATTGGTCGGCCGGATATTGGGCTGGACCGTCGTGGGCTGGCGATTCAGCAGCGTGACGACTGACGAAGTGTGGGCTCCAGGTTTTCACACGTGAAGCGGCTGGAAGTATCCAATCCATGTCCCGTTACCTTTCTTTACATTTGCCGCCGCCGGAATCCTTTACTAGTTACTGGCGACGACCTCTTCGGCTTGATGTGTGGGGTCAGTAGTGCACATCTCTTACCAAGCGATCGAGCGGTCGAGAAGTCTTCGGACGAGAATGGCTGTTTGTGAAGTCCCCACGGTTCACGGAATCATTGATCGATATTTAAGCAAACGGGTATCAAACATATATGGGAGACTCCAGGTTGAAAGAGCACCAGTTCTTTGACTAACCTTGATCCAATCCGAGGCATACATCCCGCAGGTCATACAAGTACCACGTCCACGTAAAACATAGGTGAACATAAGGACTTCATGAAAAGGTTTTGTCTATGGAATATATATTGACAATAAAATGCCTTTGGGGACATCCAAGCAGGTCAAAACACTCGACAGTGGTCACTACGTAGTACGTACCCGGAACGTCCAATACGCACGTAGGGCGAAGGAAACTGTTAACGTATCGCGCACCCAACTCCCTGGCTTAAAATGCATCTGCCTGTTTAATGCCTTTATCTTAAATGCCTCTGGTCGTTCATTTTTAATTCACTAGATATAGATACATCGTTACCCAGATAAACTATCATTCACTCAAGTGGTCGTGATCCTTCATTAACGCCTCATTATTGTTAGATCGATGCTCTTTCGCCGCTGGCTGTGGCTTCCTTTGTTCAGTCGAGGATCACATCAGCAAAGTCCTGTTTTTAGGTTTCCCCAAAACAGTTCACAATACGCATGTTGAACATTGTTCCAGTCTCCCGGAAGGAATGCCATCACATTTGTCGAGCTGAGGCCAGGCTCCTTTTACAACTTGTTGGCTGGTGGCCATTGGTCAACCTCGCCGGCGCCACAATAAAGATGTCGGATGTCGCGACTGGTAACTGTTCAAGCTGTCGCGTCATTCGTAGAGTTATGGCTTCAAATGCCGAAAGCATTGCACTGTGATCGCTATTCCATTTGGTCATTGGCAAAGCTGTTGATTCGCCACGGATTTCTCCCATCTTAGAAGTCACAGCCCTTTCCATTCGGCGTCCTGTTGTTAGTAGCTAGGATTGGCATCTTTCCTGTGTGTGCAGACACTGGCCTCGAACCTGTGACGTCATCAGACCACTGCAGTACTCGGGCATGTTGCCGCCGGTGGTTTTTGTCAAAAACCACGAAAGCGGCAAACTGTAACGAAGGATGAAATATTAGTTACATGTATTCATTTTGCATTTTGATTATGCCAGTATGGACGTTTGCAATGCTGTCTCCCTAAGATCACAGCCAAAACTGGATCCTCGAAAGTGTCGAACTCCTCGAAGGGCATACGTCATTCGCAAATCATGTTGATCACTTCTCGGAATCATCAAACTCGGACCGAGTAATAAGAATCACCAGTCAGGTGCAAAAAGTCGGTACCTACCACCAGACTGAGACCAGCACTGCACCAAGCTATGACGATAACGCTAGAGCATCATATCGCCGTTCTCACCTTCCAAGCTGCACCAGCGTAGAGTACGGATCTCCCGCCTCGCGGGCGTCTCTGGATAGGACACAAAGTTGGTGAGGTAGGCACTCCTGCTCCTCAGTCAGCAGGAGCAGCATCCTCTGCACAAAGCTGGACGTCAAGGGGTCCACCATGCCTCCTCCGTCTGCGAGCAGGGGAAGAACTGGTAGAATGAGTGGTTGAAGTCGCCTGGCATTGGCCGAGATGGGTTAGTGAAGGTATTGGAGGGCTGTTGTTTTTATCATTAGTGAAATTCGCCACCATCAGAGGGCAGAACTCAGCAGCACCCGTGCCGTAGGTGCTGTTAAAACTAACACTTAAGCCACTACCTTTCCGAAATGTCCCTACTACATCTGTAATGGCTATTGAATGCGCTGTGATTACGCATAACGAACTCTTTCCCAGCTCTTTCCTACCTTTATTAGAGTTCACGTGAGACATACGTCTTTATGAGGTGTAACTACGACGACGTCAGACTCATGGGCGGATCTAGGGGAACTTTTTGGGGGGGGGGTCACAAGTCGGCCGACATGCCGGGTCTGATAGATGAATTCTGACGACCGGGGGGGGGGGGGGGGGGGTAGGGAGCGAGTATCTCGAGATCAAATGACATTTGATCTTCGTCGTTTCTAAGATGAAGTTTTATCATCGTAAGTCACTCGACTCAGTAGTTTTAGTTAGTGAAACCCACCTATACAGGGGCGTCGCCACGGGAATTTTGTACTGGGGGGGGGGGGGGGGCGGATTAACCGACTTAAAAACCCAGAAGTAGACATAGTTACCTCACTTTTAGCCTAATGCATTAGGCAAAAAAAACATTTGTCAAAACACAGCTCTAAAACACAAATATTACAACCCTTTTAGCATGCTAGTACAAGCCGGAGTTCCTTCACAGTACACATATGAATTCCGACTCAATTTGACACGGTTGGTTTACATTCACGATCTCTCTTATTGATTGGTGTATGAATCGGCGGCGCGAAGCGCGGAGAAAATTTGCAAAAGCATTTGTCAAAACACAGCTCCAAAACACAAATTTTACCACCCTTTTAGCATGGCAGTACAAGCCGGAGTTCCTTCACAGTACACATAAATTCTGATTGAATTTGACACGGTTGGTTGGTGTAATTACAGGGTGTCCCAAAAATAATGTCACACCTGTCCAGCGTCAATTGCATGAAAATAACAAACATGAGAGGTGCGCTTTTCTTACATATGTATCCCACCTTCTCCCTGATACGGGCAAGGATATGTTCCGGAACATCAGACATCAACATGTCCAGCTTCTGTGGACTGATCTTGGACCAGACAGATCGAACGTTCCTGGTCAGCGTGCCTTCAGATTATTCTGGTGCCATTTTGATCACCTCTTACCGGGCGATCGCCCTAAGATTTTCTATCGGCGACAGGTCGGGACTATTTCCCGGTCATTTGTCCTTCTCCCAGAATGCTGGGAAGTTCGATCTGCACCAGTCCTGCGTCGTTCTAGCTCGATGAGCCGGGACCCCGACCTGTTGAAAGATGGCCCTGGACATGTTCAGCAGAGGTTTTCGGCTGGAAACGTGACTTGGTGGGCTTCAGCTTTAGAAGCAGCCTCCAGTACCGATGAATTGTCAACTTGGAGACTGGATGACTGTTAGCAATCAGCCCCCTTGCCAGATTCCTTGTGGATAAGCCCGTATTTAGCTCCGCAGTTCGCGATGTCGAGCTGCACTACCCGGCTGGCGGAAGTCTTCCTGCCGCGACCTAGCTTGTTCCCAGACGTCTATCCGCTTCTGTCGCAAGACAACCAGCGCCAAATCGTGCGGCAACTCGTGCCCAGTGCCTCGGCTACCAGGCCGTGGGTCATTCCGCCGCCAACCATGTCGACTGCCCCGCTGCGGGACGATTTGCTCTGCAGTTTTGCCATCCTGGACACATGGTCCGCGCGCGCTGGGTACTGCCCCGAAAATGACCTCCGTCCACCCCTTGACCGGTCAGGGTCACAAAAATTTGAAGGTCACGTGACTAGAATGTAGCCAATATGGTCTGGGAGCCAGTAACGGCGAAATTATATTGATATTGCGCCGTAGAAGGCAAAATAAAGGTTGTGAGAGGGTGTGACATTAATTTTGGGACACCCTGTACAGTCACGATTTCGTATTGACCTGTACGTACATGAATCGGCGGCGCGAAGCGCCGCGAAAAATTTGCAAAAACATTTGTCAGAACACAGGGTGGTCTCCTCTCTAGAAAGGACCACCTCTCTACTGCGGGCCTCCTCTTTTCACAGGGCCTCTCAACTACAGAAGGCCTCCTCTCTACAGAGGGCTTCCTCTCTACTGAGGGTCTCTCCCTTTCAGAGTGGTGTGTGGCCGAAATCCGTTGAGTTTTTAATTTTGGGTATAGGTAGGGGCACCAGGAATTAAATTCATGACCATCCCCTTGGAGTTTTCCTGGATCATCCCCTGGTGCTCGCACGGTTGAGACAAAAACGAGTAAGATTCTGGCCTTCAATACGCCTTTTCACGCAACACGATCCAGAAAAACAAAGGTATTAGCTCATAAGTGTTTGACAGGTGATTTCAGGGGCGTAACTTTGTATACTTTTGAGGGTGCAGTTGCACCCCCAAAGTTAAATTATGCACCCTCAATGTTTATGTTGCACCCCCAATGTGTCATCCCTTTATTGGCACTAAGAATTATAAAATACGCAAAATTCTTTGTTTCAAATACAGAGCAAGAATATTCAATGTAAAATGGTGAAATAAAACAAGTGCACTCATGATATTTTGTCAGTAGTTATGCACGACTGGAAAGACTGGATCCGCGCGAATAATGTGAGCTGACATACGCCGAATTTCGATTCTGGCCAAACATGGTCTCGAGTAATAGATAACAGGTTAAAGGTCATTTAGGTAGGGTCATATGATTTTTAAGGGTGTGTGTAAAATTTAGTAACTCGAGGATACTAAAAGTTTCGTCGCGATCAGCCGCTTTTTGCGCTAGTTATTCGCGAAAAACTGAGTAGGGTCGATCCGACCCCCCCCCCTCCCTACAAGGGCGAGGGTTAAAGTTTCGAAAGAACCTACCCTACTCGTCGAGCACTGTCCATCTTCGCTCGCTCGTTATGTATGTACATATGTAAATTTGTACATGCTCCTTAGGAGGCCCCTGCGAACTGGAGGCCCCGCCACTTGGAGGCCCCTTCCCTAGTTTGCACCCCCAATGTCGTTTCCAAAGTTACACCCATGGGTGATTTTGAGCATGCAAGACGGCGTCTATAACGCATTTAGGTCTTCGGCTTTTGGGGGGGGGGGGTCAAATGACCCTCTCAGACCTTTTGGGGGGGGGTCATGACCCCGTGGACCCCCCCCCCAGGATCCGCCACTGGTCAGACTTCTACTTCATGAACACATAACAACCCCTCCTTGAACTCGCCATTAAAACCCACCAACCTCATCAACCACTCACCTGGCGGCATCAGCGCCCTGCCTCCGCCGGCTGCCGGGGCTGCTGTAGTCGTGGTGGTAGTGGTAGCTGTAGCGATGGCGAAGGCCACCAGTGCTCCCAATGCTGCGAACCCGGCCAAGGCACCAACAATGCCCGCAAAACAGTCGCAGCTGCCTCCCGAGCTGGCGTAACCTGCAGGATCAAAGGGGGAATGGGCATTGAACATGGTGGCTTTTGGCTATCGATTGCTTATGTCGATATTGATAGATCCTGTGGGTCAAATGGAAGAAGGTTAGGAGAGGGGTGGTCTTTGTACAGGGATTAGAAAAGTGTTTATGTCACTTTATCATGTACCGATAATTGCGATGAATACTTTTTCACTTGGCGACATGCTTACGTTGTGGGTGTGACTGCATTGAAGATGTTGTCGCAATGAATGGCATGCACAGAAACTACTCATTTGCATTCTACCTGTCTCATGTGTTGCATACTTTGCTATAATTGTTCCCGAACGCCGGAGGAGATTTCAATTTTCAACTATTCATTTCTTACAACTTTGGCACAGCCGATTGCATATGAGGCTACGGTTTTTCATCATAATCTCAGTTACGTACCGACAACTTCCTTAATTTGTGTACGCACTACGCAGGAGCGCTCTCGAATGACATATTATAATAAAAGATATCCCAATTAGCCCTCCCCTTCTCACCACTTCTCGCGCTGGCAGGGTCGTCCCTAATCTCTCTTCTGGAGATAGGCCGGTCACCAGTCTCTTTCTCTCTGTAGCCCGAGGCGGTACAGACACCGCGCACGGCCACGTCTGCCATAGCCCGCGGCGATATTTTGGCCACCAGGTCGGTCAGTGACCTTTGGATGAACCCGTCGGGAAGCTGGTACAACAGGTGCCCGAACGCGGATCTTGGGTCACTGCCATCCCATATCACGCCTTCACCGTGTGTAAGACGATGCCATGGCTCCAGCAGGAGGCTTGAGAAACTTGGCATCGACGAAAAATCAGCCGAATTGTCTAGGTGATTGCTGGTGCGTAGAAATGATGGTAATTGTAGAAGCCAGTTGCCTTCGAGGGCCCTTCCTCCTCCATTGTTCGCTGTGATTTGTTGTAGAACGAACGCCCCCAGGCCGGCGAGGGCTGCTCCTCCGGCTAAGAGTCCCAGAACATCGTACTGAGTGCACTCACAGGACGGAGAGCCTCCATATCCGTAGGAGGTGCCCCCTCCGTAGCCGCCTCCGCTGGCCGACATCTGCTCGCCAAACTCCCCACGGGCATTGTAGATGTCGCGCCAGTCGCCGCTGCTATAGGGGTCGCCCCAGTCGCGCCATAGCCGACGTCGGGAGAGGCCAGAGGGACCCGTCCCTGAGAGGGCTGATGAAGGGTAGCTGTTGTATTGAGCTCTATCAGAGGACATAGTCGTCTCTCTTATGGGAGTGTTGACGATGTCCATGTAGACCTGGTCGTCATTATATTTCGATTCGCTATAACGCCCTCTTCTATTACGGTCGTTTTTATCGTTTGCTTTGAAGTTATCTTCTCCCCAAGCAGCGCGGATATTTTCGCCGTAGCTGGCTGTCACTGAGTTCACTCTGTCTGGTTTCAGAGACGCCTGAGTGAGCTCGTATATCGCTCTTATTCTGTCTGGACCCGGGAAGACGGTCGAGGTGCCCCAATCGGCACTCTGATTTCCGTTCGTAGCCGGGATGTCCGTCGCTGCGCTGTAGTTTCTCCTGCCCGAGTCCAAATCAACGCCTGCTTTAGGAGACTTTGAGGTGCTTCTTTTTTGTATGCTCTCGGACGCTGCGTATGGAAGGGATGGAAGAGGACCGCGAGATGGACTTTGAGCGAGACTGAAATGGTTTCCGGAGGGGATCTCAAGACCTAGGGAAGATAGGGACATGGCTCCAGCTAAAATCACCAGAAAACAGACCGAACGTGGCTTCATAGTGGCTGTCTAAGCAGGGGCTGGACGGTTTTCACGTCAGGTCACTAGAAGCACGGATCACTTATCGCAATGCATAAGTTAGAGCCCATGATTTCACTTTGGTACGTTGTGCTTGTCGTGTGAATCGCGGATCTTACTTCAAATGGCTTCTAGGAACTTCAGTATGCATTAGTAGGTGCCTAGCAAATTAAACTTGTGATAACGTAATAGTCATGCCAAAATGGCTTAACAATTTGCTATCTCAAAGCAGTTTGTTAAGCTGGGCTTTCAATTAATAGAGGCACTCTGCAGTCCCGGGCTATTTTCTTGATCGAATATCGAAATTTTCTTCAATAGCCAGTCTTCAATAGCCAGTTTTTCTTGTTTTGCAAGACCCACAGGATGTCCAGAGCAACCAGAATGCTTATCTAAGCGCCACTGACAGACAGCAATGTTGCAAGCCTCGTCCGGTGTCACTCTTCCGTGCTGAGTCGCGCCTGATCACGCTTCACGAGCCGCTCTCTGAATGTCCGACGAGGTTCCCTCTCCTTTGGCGACCCCACCCCTAGCACTGCGCAACTACGACTAACCCCGGCAAGACCCCAGCTTGACGCCGAGGTAATTTGTAACGGTGCACCCCTATTAACCCATCCATCATCCGTGGTTTATGCCTGCAGTTATGCTCCGTTTGTGTTGGTGCGCATGTTTCGTGCTTTTCGCGAGTTTGAGACGGCGGGTGGTTTTTGAACCGTAACAGACAGCCTGTTGGGTATTCGTGAGGGCTGCGATGTGTGTGATGTGAACGGGTCACGACTCACGAGTACTAGGTCAGGAGGTCAGATCACGGCTACGTATGCCATGTGTCGTGAATGTCAATTGTTTCTTGGTTATGTGTCGTATATGCAGTGGCCGTCGGCCATGAGTATGTATTACTCATCGATAAATTTCGAGTCGTTGCAGTGAAACAGTCACACATTGGTCGTACATAGAAAGGAACGCCAGTACACCTTTAACAAAATTCACATGTATGCCTCGAATGTGCAGATTATGAGCTCTTCATGAATGTATATGAGCTCACCTATGACCTGCAGAAGTTCATGTCATGAGAGACGGGAAGGGACGAATGGATGTTTTCGTCACATTTAATTGAAGTGTTAGAGAGGTGTCATGTGTAAGGGGAAAACGTATCATATTGTGATGAAAGCTCAAGAATAACGTAGTTCATTCGCAATTCTCTAGCTTCTACGTTATGTTAAGGACTTTAGATCACTAAAGGATTTTACTTCTTATACAGCTAGGCAGCGGCCTTGGATAATCTAGTTGGAATCGTAATAATGCTTTGTCATGTTTAATGGAAAATTAAGAGCATTAGGTACTTGCAACACATATGACCACTGGTCATATGTGCTGCAAGTACCTAATGCTCTTAATTTTAATTGACCAGCCAAGTAAAAGCATGGTAGACTTGTACGTCTATGAACTTACCACCAATATCATTCAGTCTGCGCATGCGGTGGGTACTCACCATCTCTTGCGCCGATTCCAATTTTATCCAGAAATCTTCCTGTAATTGTTGAGGTCCCGTTTTCGCTTCGTCTTTTACGTCTGTAACCTGAACCATAGCAGACTGCTCTCACAGCTGTATCGGCCAATGCGTGAGGCTTTATTCTTCCGGCGAGATCCAGAAGCGACCTCTGCATCATTCCCTCCGGCAGCTGATGCAGCACCCGGCCGAACGCTGACCTCGGGTCACTACCGTCCCATATGACCCGCTCTCCTCGCGATAGGTGACCCAACGGCTCGGCGAGGAACGCAGTTAGGTCGAGGAGCTCGACACCGAGGGACCACTCCTCCTCCAGCGACCGGCCGACGTTGGTGAGGTTGGCGAAGAGGAAGATGGCCGCCAGCGCTGCTGAAGTTGCCGCCGCAGCCCCCAGACCAAGGAGGTTGTAAGCCACGCAGTCACATTCCTCTTGATCGCCATATCCTCCTGACATGCCGCTGAGGAAGCGGTCATACCAGCCTCGGATTCCTGACGAAGGTGCTGTGTTGTACGAGCCGCTGTATCCCTGGTTGTAAACGCTGTAGCTGCTGCTGCCGTAGCCGCCGTTGTAGCCAAAGCCGCCGTTCTGACGGCCGTTGTAGCCGGGGCCGAAGTTTTGGCCATAACCTTGAGAGATTCCGGGACCGGAATGGAACCCGGCGCCGAAATCTGAGGGATAGCGACTTCGGTAGGTTTGGGATGGCGTGTCGCCTCGAGTTGGGTCTTGGGAGGCGTGTGGGGGATATCTTTCGTAGTTTTGGGCCTGCCCATCGGGGGCTAAGGGCCGATGGTCGGTCGGAACGCTTCCAGAATCGCGAAATTTTTCACTTTCCAGACGCTGTTTTTCTAATGGAGACATACTCAGTGGGCGCACAGAGAAGTGAGCGGTTCGGAATGGATCGTCGTTCTCACTGGGCCTCTGGTTTCCACCTGATTCTGAGATCACGTGTGACTCACCGACTCGTCTGCGGGCGTTGTCTCCCGAACCTTTTCGCCATTCTCTTCCTCTCCCATCATTTTCCCTAACTTTGGATCTTCTACTCGACGATAGCGCTTTCAGGTCTGACCCGATGGTTTCTTGTGAGCTTCCAGGATGGATTGACCCGTTAGGATTGGAGCTATATTTTGGGTCCCCATTCAAAGAGAACGCATTCCGAGTCGGTTGCCATGGCAACGTTGGTTGCCATGGAGATTGGGGATAATAGTGAGGTATTGAAAAACTTGCAGGCTCTGGAAGCTTTTCTTCAGGACTTGTTGCATTCTCGCTTCGTGACACAGCAAAGAACAAAACCGTTAGCAAGATTGACGACGTCATTTAATGTCTTCAGAGATAATCTTTCTCTAAGGAGCTTCCTCCAGTCGTGGATCTGTTTGTGATCAATCAATCAAGGAAGAAGACAAAGGTCATTCCCACTTCGCCTCTTCACTCTTCATACCTTGTCAACCTAATAATTGTTCAGGGGCACATATCAACCGTCTAAGGAGTAAGGAGTCTTACACGTTTTACACGCCTTTCACGCTTTCAGTTTTTCACTTTCAGTATCAAGCACAGCTGAACGTGGTCTTTCGTCGTACTTTTAGCGATCTTCCCGTCTTCTTGCTGGTTTCTACTCTCCAGGCACACACTTTTTCTCTTCTTTCTCGATCACCGGCGCATCACGGTTGCCGTAGCAGTTCCTATAAAGCACACTACACCGTCATCGTACGCTGGGCGCTCACTTCATTTCGACCACAACCCGTGTAGCACGTCCTCGCGATCCCTTCGCACCACGCTTCCTGCCGAAACCTCGAAGCCAAGTCCTGTGGCGCAGCGGAACACCGACCTGCTCCCCACAGCCTCCCCCGGCATAGTGCACGTCAAATTGTGCAAATGTGGGCGGTGCTTCGCAGTGCGGGTCGTGCGCCCTAATTCACCTCAGAGGCCGTAAATGCTATGTAAGCGGAAAAGCGCAAGCGAGCATGACCCTCGCTAGGTGTCTGCATGCGGTGGTGTATGCCACGAAGCGTGGACAATTGCAGGTAAAGCTGCGTTCTGGCGAAGAGAAGAGCATCTCTTGAGGCTCCAATTCATGGCATGCGAAGTCATGATGATGGGGGTATGTAGGTAAGTGGGTAGAATGACTGACAAGAAGATAACTATGTCAAAGAGATGATGAACCTTTTGATGGGAAGGATTCACAAGGACAGAGCCACCGCTAAGCGAAGCTTGTTGCGATGACCCTGCCCTCTACCTTCCGATCGCGCAATTCCGATTCTATGGCAGAATTTAGAGTCCAAAGTTAAACGTGCGCGCAAAGCCGCGCACGGCCGGTCCCCTCGCTGACTTCGCCTGGCTACGGCCTGCCACCAACCGCAACCATACCTGTCAGGAGGCCCATAAATGTCGAGCGCCCGTCGCGCTTGGAACCCGGACTGTCATAACCGGGAACGCGTGCTCTCACCATGCGGAGTCCAACGCTCTAACCAACTGTGCTACGGGACCGGATTTGAACGCTTTCTTATGTTAAATAGCTAATGGTGATGATTGAAGTTGATCAGATTGTGTTCTAGCCCTCGCCCGCACATGCCATTTTCCCATCCTAGAACGCACATGGGGGGGGGGGGGTGCTTGCCAACCCCCGCGCCATTTCGTTCCTGTTGGAGATAGCGCTTCGCGGTAGAGACCAAAAAGATTCTTTGGGAAGAGACGAATTGAACGATACCCAGTTTTACCTTCTCTGGTCAGTCATTGACCTTCCAGGTCAGGTCAAACTAAAAAATGTTGCTGTTTTGGGTCACCGTAGGATATCAAGTGCGCTGCTTATCATATACTGATGACGATGCCGTTTTCTGGTGCCAAGCCAGCTAGAACCTCTTTGTCACAATACCCGACCAGGTTTTTGCTGCTGAGGTCATTTCAGGCCAAGTTAGGTCAAGGTCAATGATATGTGTTTGTATGTCTGTGTGTATACTGATGTGTGCACCGATTGTTTATGTGTCCATATTACATGAAATCATGATCTGAGAAGCTTTTACCAAAAATGCAGTCAAGAAACTTGACGAAAAGTAAACTCAGCTTGCCAAAAACGCAATTATTTTAGATGACCTAGGTTGACCTTGACCCTGACCTTGACATCTGTACATCGTCGAACAACATATAGGTGGGATGTAAGACTGGCAAAAAAAGGCCGAAATCAAGGACCAAGGTGTCAAAAGCTCACAAGGCCCATAGCCAACGCAAGATGTTGAGAATTGGTCATTTGGGTCATGACATGACCTGAAAAACAAGGTCATATCTCCGAAACCAAAAACCACACAAATTTGAAATTTTCAGTGGACATCAAGAAAGGATAGAGGAGCAGCTATACGAAAAATCAGGCTTCTACACTGTAAAAAAGTTTAGCACCATAGAGGTACTTTTCAATTGACTAATTTTCAGTAGGTACCTTAGCGGTGCTAAGCTAAGCATTTTATTCGTACTTAACTGAGATCTAGTTTAGTATCAAGGTGCTAATATAAGTACCCATATTTGTTTAGCACCCGTGTACTAAATGTAGTACCCTACACCTGCTAGACCAATTTTCAGTACCCTAGCGGTGCTAAACTTTAACACGCGCAGTGGAAGGGGGGGGCGGATTTCGCCCACCCCTCCTGTTTTTCGCCAATAACTCGCGCCGCAAACATGATATAAATGTGAAATTTTGGCTACCTGTCCAGAATTGAATAGCGGATCTTCTCGTGCAAGAAATAAAAAAATCGGTTCACAACTTTTCTAGTAACAGCGGTGTAAAGTCAAACATCCTGCCGCCGGGGCGGCGCGGCGGCGCGGCGGCCGGCGCTAGCCGTTACGCGCCGCCTGAATTGTAGACTGTGCCGGGGCGGGACGGTTCCGTCTTTACATCGCGCTCCTTACCGCTGATTATATTCGATTCGCGTCAAATTTGGTGAGAAGACTAAGAAATGTACAGGCAATCTCATGGTCAAAGAATTTTGAAAATCGGCCGGTAACAACTTGAGTTATGAGTGTGTAAACACAAAATTGTGATTGCCGCGTTTCCCGCGTCCGCCGATCCCGCTTCAGCCGGCGATATCTTACTCTTAGCAGGCTTCTAGCTGCCATATTTATTGTTGGATTAACTAGAAATTCACCATACATACCCAAAAATGTATGGTCTTTTGTATAGTGAAAGAAAAAAGAAAATCGGCCGGTAACTTTTTGAGTTATCGGCGTGAAAGCGCAAAAAAGTCGCTAATATGGCAGATTTGACCACATTTGACCTCATTTGACCTTGAAGATATTGACCTAGGGTCATGAAATTCACACACAACAGAGTTCCCCAAGGCCTTCACCTACCCTCCAAATTTCGTCTTCCTAGCTCCACTGGGAGCTGAGATCTTAGGGGGGGGGGCGACATCCGCCCCCCCCCTTCCACTGGGCGTAGTACTCGCAACCCTTCCACTGCGCGTGTTAAAAGGTGCTAAGAATAGCATGCAGTTAGTACCTTCCGTACTCACATATGAACCGTTTTAGCGCTATTGTTACCCCACGATAGGTAGAATAATGCTAACGAAAGCATTGGGGCTGAAAGTAGAATCTATATTACTAGTTAAAGCTGCTGCATGAAAAGTTCGCAAAAACTGCTTTCTTTAGCAGCACATACTTTCACTAGTTACTGCAAAAAGGACTAATCAATTACCAAAAAGGAAATTGTGTAAGGCCGAAAAGACGTGCAAAAAAGGTTATATCCTAGGTAAGTGATAACTACAAGTCTCAATGATTGTGTTTTGCATTCTGCAATATTCCCGTGTAAGTGCATCTTTCAAGCATCCAACACATTATAAAATTAAAAAATAATAATAGAACATTTATTAACACTTCATATCATCTGCATGAAAAACAAATGTAAATATATACACAAACAAACGCACGGGAAATAACGAAAGGTCGCTCATATACCTGCACACTCGCAGTGACCGACAATTAACGCGAGATCGACTGGGGGAGGCGGGGGGGGGGGGTCGTTGAACCGACGTTCCGTTCATGGCCATAAGTTCGACCTCATCCACGACCAGACGGCGTTTAGTGATAGACGGAACCGGAGACCCCGTGTTGTTGTCGTAGTTGTCCTCCATTGTAAGTGGTAGTCGACGGAAGAACTGACCAGGCCCCATGCCTGGAGCAAAAAAAAAACTGGATCAGTTCCAAGATTTTTTTTTCTGTTGGGAGCTATTTTCGCAAACAACACAACTTTCTTTCAGACCAAGAAGCGCGATTTGCCAAAGTCGGAATATGAAGCACTTAAACAATATAAGATAATGTCAAAATATACAACGTGTCAGACTCACCAAAGTCGATCAACGTCGGTGTCGGTGGCATGTGTCGGTGGCAAATGCTTATGTACCACCCGGCCCCGGATCACTTCACTTCACTTCACTGCACTGCTGCACTGCACTTCCCTCCACCTCACTGCCTCCCGGAGCAGGGGCACGCACTCCCATGCCACGCACGACGGATTCCACCGATAATAGCTGATTTAAGCTATCATTCCAGAGCTATCACTCGGTGGCATGTGCCCGGAGCACTTCACTTCACTTCATTTCACTTCATATACCGGAGCACGTGCACACACTCCCACCACGACCAACGGACTCCACTAAAATGGCGCAACACGTGGCCGGAAACAGCTGGCACGCGCATGCGCATATCGCTCTGCGCCGTCAAAACGTGCTAAAGGGCTGGTGATAAGACTCCCAGAGATTTGTAAAGCAGGGCTTAGCTACTTTCTTTGGCGCCAATTTCAAATTTGTTTCCTCTGTAAGCATGTCCGGTTCTATTGTGATACTAACGTAAGCACTAGTGGTGTCAATCGGAACTTGAATCTTCGGAATTCCGATTTTGTCCAATGTCCAATTCGGAATTCGGTTGGACAATGGCCGCAGGCTTTGGACAACTTTGGACAATCGCTTGCTACACCTCAACATTTTTAAAAAGTAGTCGTGTTTAACATTGATTGGCTATTAGAAAGCTCAGCTTTCGATATGATTAACACTTTTGAGCTTGTAGCGGTACATGAAAAGCAAATGAAATAACAGTGTTGATTGTAAATTATTGCGTAGGTGTCGGACATCTTTGGACAAATGGCTGGCTTGGACATTTTTGGACGGACAATCGACGTAAGCATTGGACATTGGACGGACTTTGGACATACGTTTTCTGAAATTGACACCACTAGTAAGCACCATATTCAGCATTACCAACTTCTAAAACACTTAAAATGGTTCTAATTAGAAATCCAGCTTGAAAGAGCACTCACTGATGGACTGGGTACTAGCAGAAGTAGACGTTAAGCTCAGTAGAAGAATAGGTGATCTAAACTTGTAATATTTGA